CACCGAAAGAAGATTAATGATTGGTTGAGACTTGAGCTGAAACACAAAACTGCGATAAACTCCATGTAAAATAAAAGAGATCCGAGGATATCAAATTGCATAATCCATCCACAAGAGAACAAAGGGAAATCCGAATGCAACCCTAGGATATCCTTTACCGTCCAGCAACTTTTACCCTCAACCCGCCAAAAAGAGGAGCATATTCACACAAAGACATTAAAATGAAAGACCAACATCAGTTATATAATGGCCTGGACCTAGCTGGCGTTTTGCTGTGGACAATGTCCATTCGTTGTAGCTTGATATAACGCCTGCATTAACATCTCGTAATTTGAAGCCGCCTCTGGCTGTCGTAAGATAATGTCATGGACAACTCCCAGTTGGGAGACATCAGCATTCGGAGCCTGCTGGAGGAGTTGCTGAATTGCAGGAGCATTTGCCTGAGCACCAAGCACCTGCACTGCGGCGGCCATACCGGTGACAGGCATCTGACTATGTGGCTCTGGAGGTTGATACCCCTGGGACTGAGAAGCCGGTTGAGTTGGTAACTGCGGCTGCTGCGATTGCAGGGATTGTTGAGGCTGGGAAACATAGGAATTGAGGGTCGGAATTATGCCCGAGATAGCGGATGGCGGAGTGGGAGACATCTGCGACATCTGCCTCGGTCCAGGTGTCAGAAACTGCTGTTGCTGGGGTGTCGCTGCGACGGTGACAGGGCTTGCAAAAGACGCAGGCTCCTGACTTGGATGATGTGATGATGGCTGTACTGAAGAAGGATTCGATTCGCCGGTTTTGACTGCGAAGACCACCAATAGTACTCGCTCTGGAGTAGGGTCTTCAAGTGTATTGTTTTCCAAAAGCTCAATAAATTCGGGCTTCTTTGTGGATCCAGCTTCGATGGGAATAACGTAGGTATCCTTGACGGCTGGCAATGGATGTTTTCCGACAACACCGTATCGCTTCCGGTCTTGGAAATAGTTGAAGAGCTTGTCGAACCCTTTTTGATCTTTAGGAGATTCTGGGCGACTGATGGAGATGACTGAAACGTCCGTCGAGGAACTGAAACGCAAACCACAGAGATAATTGCTCGCCAGTTGAATGTCGATTCGCCCGTCGACCACCAAGGTCGACGGTGCAAGCTGACTCCACGGTATCCTGTCACTTAGTTCAGCTCCTCCAACATGCTTCGCTGAAGATGAGAAATCAGCCACCGGGTTCATGACAACCTTCCCACGCCAGATAATCGCCTCGTCGTTAAAGTCTTTCGGGGAATAGGGAGGCGATTCAGGTTCGACATCTTTCAACAACTTGTCAATCTCTGCATCAGCCTGGGCCTTGCCAGTCGGCAACATTTCACGTATGTGAGTTGAGACCTCTGGAAAGACTTGGTCATGATCAGCGGCGCCAGGAGAATGCACCGTAGGCCCATCTCGGGCCTTGGTGTCCGTCACTTTGGTGTCGATAGGTAGCGGTTTGGCAGCCCTTGGCGCACTGTCATCCGGCTGCTGATGAGCCTGGGGACTCGCCGGACTTTGATCTGAAGGGCTTGCGTCAACATCAGCCACGCTTCGGCGGGTCGGCGCTACCGAAAACACTGGCTCGCTGGCGACGGTTTGATTCTCATCTTCAATGAACTCTTCGCCTTTATGAGTTCGCCTTATTCGCGGACCTTGCTCCTCCACGATGATGTGCTGCCTCTCGGCCTCGCGCTTGATTTCGGCATCCTTCTGCTGAAGCTCCTCACTTGCCATATCCTGACTGCTCATCTTAGAGAGCGCATCTGGAAGCAAACTACCTACGAGCAGGCGATCCCGTAGAGAAGGATTCTTCTTTACGTTGAACAAGATCGTCCGCAGTTGTAATTTATAAGGTTCAGTGGGTTCTCCAGATCCTCCGCAAATATTCTGATACATAGCCTTCTCGATTGAAAAACCGAGCTGCTGCGCTATCTCTTTCGCCGATCTTCCCTCAGGTAATTTGAAAAACCCTTGCTTCTGTGCATCAGAAATTTGATCTACAAATAACTTGACTAGAGCACTGGCAGCACTTCTTCTTGCTGGGTTTGAGATCTCGTCCAAAGTGCCCGATTCCTGCGTCGCAGTTTTTTCAGAAACGGAGCTTTGGCGCGAAGGAGGAGCATTCGAATCTTCCTTCGCCGGAGCAGGCTTGTCGTTGAGAGGAGTCACTGAATCAGCTGCTGAGGTCGTCTTTATTTGCTTCGGTTTTGGTCCCTGCTGGTAGACATTATCAGCTGTCACGATTTTCAAACAGTAATAGTCAAGTCTCACCGTATCGGAGGTCGCAGCCTCTTGATGTACCTCGAATTTCCTCTTCTGAGTGCTCGCTGGGCGGGCATCTGGAACGTCACCGTTCTTCTCCGGGACGGGGGTCACAACGGGCGGAGGGGCCAGTGGAACAGGAGTCTGAGCGGGCGTGGCAGAAGCCGCTTTGTTGCGGGCTGGGGTGCCTATATCCGGTTTGGGCTCGCTTGGCCGGCCCTTTCTACCACCTTTCCTGCCTTTCCTGCGACGTGCGGCCTTCTTTTCTTCTGCCTGCTGGCGTCTCTTCTCGGCTACTTCCTCCCAAGGCTTCTCACCGCGCGCAATCTTGTCCAAGAGAACTTTATGATTCTCAGGTCGGCATAGTTCACAGAAGTATTCGTCGGGCTCCTCGCCTTTCGCAAATGTGAGGCCCATGCAGTCATTGTGTTGCCAGGCGGAGCACTGGTCACAGCAGATCATATCTCGTTCAATGTCTTCCTCCTCTTCATATTCTCCGCAAATACATCGAATGATTTCTTCTTCTTCACTGACGGCAGGCGTCGGCTCGACGGAGGGTTTCGGGGGCTTTTCAGATTTATCCTTCGATTGAGCTTTCGCTTTCGATTTCTTCGCAGGTGTCTCGGTTACCATATCTAGGTTTTTGTGTTGACCTTTCGTAGAGCGTCCAGAGCGTCGCGGTTCTTCTGATCTCAGCAGTTAGCGAGCTATTCAGTCACGGTTCGGGGGTCGCATCCAGTCGCCACAACCTCAGTTGAGGTGACGCCACGCTCACAAAAGAAGTACTATAGGCTTACCAGTCATGATGGGCATGTGATATGGCAAAGGATCTCTGAATATCTACAGCACGTGGTAGGATAGGTGTTATTCCAATGACAAGTTGTGCAGGCCACCCACAGCTGGCTTTCTACGGCATCCGAGGGGCTAAAGTAATACGCAGGGGAAAAGACTGGACAGTGGCACTGTTGCCTGGCCCACACAGGTATTACTTGATCCTCCAAAAGACTGTCCCTGCTTTATTTTACCGAAGAACGCGTGCGAACCCAATTGTAGCAGCAAGCTGGGTGTGGGCCTTTGGAGGCTTCTGGCGCGCCGACTTCTAGCGTGAGGAGTCGCGTGAGTATCGTCCTGCACGGAGAGTTCCCTGAAACTAGTGGATCTGGTGATGGCAACCAAAAATATTGCTGGTCGCGACAGTAGTTCGTATAAAATTCGGCGTTGCAAAAAACGGCAAAGGATGAAAATGTGATGAGAGAGTGGGTTGAGGGAAGGAATGAAGGAGAGGAGATGTCGTGTTACTTGTAGTGAGTAATCAGGCACGTGACTGAGGCTCGGTGGGGAGAGCTCTTGGCAGACGCCAGTCGCTTTCCGTCGCGTAAAGTAGTTTTCGATGTCGTGAAAGCTTCTCCGGATCCCCACATCTTGACAACCACGCTTAACAACACAACTTTGTCGATCTTACTGAAGCACTCTCAGAAATCTATTGTACTCACTTTTCCCCTGTTAGTCTATCTACTGGGATGGCAGATGTTCGCTCGTTACTTCGAAGTGAGCTTGCTGCTCGGAAGGGCGCACCGCAAGCAGGAAGTACCGGTAATCGAGTTACCAAGAAGCGGAAGGTCGATATCACGGATGACTTGACGCGAAAAAAGATGAGGCCCGGCGAAAAAAGCGCAGATCCCCTATCACCGACAGTACATACTGTGCAGCGACCAAGCGCCCAGGCGATCGATGAAGTGGAGGATGTTGAACAACGAGAACAAGAAACTGCTAGCCTGGAACTTCCGCCGGACTCGAAAGCCTCCCAAGAGCAGACCCAGGCACAGTCTGAGCCGTTGCTCGAATCGAATACACCTCAAGCTATCGATGAGGACGAATGGGCAGCATTTGAGCGTGATGTGGTGGCGCCAACTCGTATGCCCCAGGCACCTGCTGCAGTTGCTGCTGCAGCGACGATATCGGCCGCGCCCATGTCGGCCGAGCAACTGGCTGCCCAGCAAGAGGCAGAAAAGGGAACGTCAATACAAGCACGTGAAGCTGAGATCGAAGGGGAACGAGAGGACGCGGCGCGGTTCTTGGAGGATGAATTTGATGAAATGGAGCAGCTTGAAGAACGGATTAGGCGGTTGAAGCATAAGAGGGAAGAATTGAGACAGAAACGAGCCAAGGAAGCTTCAGAGATCCCTCAGACAGAAGGATCGTCATCCGGGAAAACACAAGGGGAACAGCAGATTGATGAGACTAAACAAAGCGACGAAGAAGGAAACGATGACGATGACGACGATGATGTGGATGACGATGACTGGGACAACTGGAGATTTAGGTAATGATGAAATTGAGATCAGCAGTGGTTTTGGGAACGGCGCCATTTCATAAAGGGAGGTCTGAACTCTTCACATTTACATTGATACCCCATACATCGAGCCATGAGCTATATGGATACTCTACAATGACTTATGATCCTTTCCTCGGTGCCATCTCTGTCGATGGGTGGCTTAAAAAATGTTGTTTTTACTGGCTCTACAGGTAATAATGAAGGCAATTCACAGGAGATATTCCTGTCACTCGTTGAGGCTTCAGCCGCGTCTCCACGGCTGCGTCGAAGAATGAAGAAATCGGCCAGATTTGGAACTAGTATCTATCTGCCTTGAGTCTTCATGAAAATTTAATTTTTGATTATAGTTAAAGACCGAGTAGATCATCTCCGGAGCACATCTCATGTCAAGAAGCTTCACGGCTCTTCTCCTGAGGTACTTTCACCGAGTCTTGGTTTTCGGCTTCCAGGTAGCTCCTGATACCTTCCTTTCTAACTCTCATAGCTTCCTGGACCTCCGCCTCACCTTCTCTGAGGAGGTGCCTCCCGCGGACAAGATCGCTTTGTTGCTTTCTTTTCTCCTCCTGAACTCGTTTCTCGCGTTCAGCTAGAGCCCTTTCGCGCTTCTCACGCTCCAGTCTATTCCTGTTTAGTGCCTCAAGCTGATCTGCAGTCATATCCTGCTCTGGCGGCGGTGGCAAAGTAGAGATATAGGCCTCGAGTAATGGGTCGCGCACTTTTGGCGGCAATGAGATATATCTCAGGTCGGTGATAATTGGTGAAGGAAGAGCTTCTAGATTCGATGATCGGTTGAGCTCTTGTAATGGTACTGATTTCAGCAAGGCCGAGAAATCAGACTTTCGGGTGCTTTCAGGTAGCTTTAATCGCGAGATCAGGTCTCGATAGAGTTTCTCACGGTCTTTGTCTGATAGTTGTGAATCTTTCATCTCGGGCTCTTTCCTGTACTTGCGTTTGAATTCAGGCCAGTAAAGCTTGGGAGTCGCGTGCTCCTGGAGGAAAGCGAGATATCGGATACGAGGATCCTTCCTTTCCTGCTTCTCTTTCTGTTCTTTCAGCTGCTGTATACGATCACGGCTCCAACTAGACCAGGCCTCTCGGCGTGCCTTCATGTTCGGCAAAACAGTATAGCGGCTGTCCTCTATTATGCGGCCTTCTTCGATGATTTTCTCCCACGTAGAATAGGGATTTATGTGATAGTCGTCGAGGAGGTCACGGAAAAGCGCTGTAGCATCTTCCTCAGTAAGTGGCAACCCTTCTGCGCCCTCCTCCCAGCCTTCCTGACCAGGTTCGCCGTATTCTCCCGGATCCAAACCGTATTCTTCTCCCATTGCTGCGAGCTGATACTCGATATCTTCCTCAGTGAATTCTAAGGGTTGCTGTTGGTCGTTGGTGTCTTCGGTCTTCGGCCGTTTCGAGGGTTGATCATCCTCGTCCTCGCTATCAGTCACCTCAACTTCTTCGTACTCATCGCTGTCTTCCATCGCATGGGCGGCTGTACCAGGATCCCGTACGCTACCAGGTCCCTCTGAAGGGCGAACTTCGTCCAATATTTCCTTCCCCTTTTCTCCGGATTCCTCAGCTTCTTCGGAACGAGCCTTCTGTTCCCTCTTCTCTCTTTTCAAACGATCATACTCCACCACTCCTTTCATTACTGCCGGAGGAAATTTCCAGAAACTTTCGTTCGTCTCAGGGTTGTGAACGAATCTTCTCCCCAGCCTCGTCTTCACAAGCACCCACGGCTCGCACCCGGGTATCGCGTGTTTCGATTTCGGCCTATCCTCGGGCCTTCGATTGTTGCGGTCGCGGAACCCTTTTCCACCTCGAAATCCACCCCTAGAATGACCATGATGAGGAAGCCCACGGGTCTGGTCGCCGAAGGCAAATCCTTCGGGCGCATACGGCGTGGAAGAGAAAGGGGGAAGAGTGTCTGGAGTAACAAAAGGAACTTGGGCGGGCGCGGCGGGTTGCGATTGAACAGGAAGCGGCTGCGGTCTTGTGTATGTAGATTGCTTCGTCTCTGCGTTGTAATAATAGAGATGTCCTAATTATAGTCAGTGGCTTGAGCTCTAAAGATTGCAATAAGGAAACTAACCTGAAGGAGCTCTATGTTCTGTCCACCCCGGTGGTAATGGAGGAGGGGGAGTGTAGGTAGATTTGAGCATTCTGATCACTACTGTCTGGGCCACGATGAAGCTATGTAGGAATCGTCAATGCTGATATTAGAAAGACATAGTCGTAAGGCGTGGAATGTCCTAATTGCAAAATTTCATAAGAAATCTGAAATGGTTTTGCCAGTCGATGGAGCTTCGTCTGCGCCGGGAGATCTAGAAGTGGTCCGAGCTTGGCAGCGGACCGGCAGGACGCGCCAGGGCGAGTTTGCCTGGTCACTTGGAGCTCACCTTGCCCGCTCACCTAGCTTAGGTACATCACAGCTCCATACCCTTCCTACAGCACTCTCTCGCCCTATCTACTTCATTTATCTTCTGATTTCTCTCATTGTCATATTCTCTAGACATACTGCAAAATGTCACGGAGATATGATTCCAGGGTACGACCATTCCGACATTCCGTCATTCCGTCACTTGCTCCAGCTAACCCATTTATGCCCCATGTAGACAACCATCTTCTCCCCCGAAGGTCGACTTTATCAAGTGGAGTATGCGCTCGAAGCTATTTCACATGCTGGTACAGCTCTAGGGATCTTGGCAAAGGATGGAATCGTCCTTGCTGCGGAGAAAAAGGTGACCAGCAAGCTGCTAGAGCAGGACACATCTGCAGAGAAGCTCTACACACTGAACGAGTACGCTATTCCCAACGGAGAGAATGTTTCTCTTCTCCTCTACTCCGTTACTGATTCATTACTAGTAACATGATCTGCGCAGTTGCCGGTATGACTGCAGACGCCAATATTCTCATCAACTATGCCCGACAAGCCGCTCAACGCTACCTCCTCACTTACGGCGAAGAAATTCCCTGCGAGCAACTTGTTCGTCGATTGTGTGACCTGAAACAAGGGTACACCCAGCACGGTGGTCTCCGTCCCTTCGGTGTCTCGTTCATCTACGCAGGTTACGATCCTCTGAGAGAATTCCAACTGTACCAGAGCAACCCCAGCGGAAACTATGGCGGTTGGAAGGCCACTAGTGTGGGAGCAAATAACGCGAGCGCCCAAAGTCTGCTCAAGCAAGATTACAAGGAGGACTGCGACCTGAAGGAAGCGTGTGCCATGGCCGTCAAGGTCTTAAGCAAGACAATGGACTCGACAAAGCTGAGCAGTGAAAAGAGTAAGTGGCCCGCAATGATTTTATCGTGTTCAGTTCATGACGATCGCATTCAATATGCGTAATCTATTTCCACATCGTTGGCTGACTGATGTCCTTACCTACCCAGTCGAATTCGCAACGGTGGGAAAGACCAAGGAAGGGAAGATCTACCACCATCTGTGGAATGCGGACGAGATCAATGCTTTACTGAAGGAACATGGTTTGGCCAAGGTCGACGATGAGCCCGAGGCTGGTGATATCAAATAACTTACGAGACAATGCTCCCTTTCGGTAATTTCGTCATACAAATTAGGTTCTGATATTTCAAATTCCCAAAAATGAAAAATTTGAGCCTGGTAGCCATAACATTTACACAGGATGTTGCAAGTGCTGGTGAAAGACCCCGAGAACACATAGGTGTTGTCTCTGGCCCACTGTTGCATTGAAGTTGCACTGACATTGTATGGTGGTGACGTGGCAAGCAACCCCCTGGGGTTCAATAAACCATTATTATAACTCCAACGCTTCTCCTCGCACGAATTCTCGCAATCTGATGCAGCCCGTTATGGACGATGACCTGACGGAATGGTCCACGTAGTCTCCCTTCAAGTTGTCTGATCCGAGCGCTTGATTAATCCATTCTAAATAGCCCATGCTCAGCAGAGCCCTCAAATATGACAGCGCGCCCCCTAAAAAGCGTCGATTGTTCAAACAAAGACAAAGCCGTGCAAAAGATGCGCGGATTCAGCAGATGTCGTCTCAACGAAATTTGACGGAGCAGAGTATATCTGGTCCTGGTTCTCTATCATCGGAGAGAGAAGGTTGGGCAACCATGAGAGCCCACCACACTAGACGAAGCCATCGATGTACAAACACAGGGAGAAGACCATGGAGTTTGAACACCCTGTCTGGCACTTGGGTCAATGGAGTTTGTTATTGCTTCTAGTTAAGCGACAAAGACCAGAACCGCTTCAAAAGGAAAGAGGGCTAACCAGATATAGGTAACTCACGTGAGTATATATATAACATTGGACAAAGCTGCGGGGTATCGATTCTCATTCCCTGGCAGCTTGCTATTCGAAACCAAGCTTCGGAAACAAAGTCATATTCAAGGAACATCTGTGGCAGACAGACGTACATTTAACACGGCGAGTCAAGATAAAATGACCACAGTAGATATTACAACCGTCCTAGTTCCTACTGGTGGAGCTGGGTGAACCGCTCATCGGGAACGCAGGCGCTTATGAGTTGGGGGTTCTTCAGGCTACGTTCCCGTTCCTGCAACATCTCAAGGGAATGCATTTTATTATTGGAAGACTATGACTTAGATACATTAAGTCTGCAGTCGTCAAGTCTTTTCCTCCAACCATCGTGTGGATCTCCCCGACTTCTGAATCGGTTCGAAACGATGATGCTGTCAAACCACAGTCAGAGTGGCACCTGCTTGAGAGAGCAGTTGATGGACCAAAGCATAAGCGACAAAATAAAGGCTTTGCAACAGAGGGAATCTTGAAACAAGAAACGGAACCACCAAAAAGGCCAAAAATGCCTCTCCCTAGACGCCATTGAGCTCGGGCATCTTACTTTCACGAGAGTGCTTTTCTTCGGTCTTCTCGTTCTCTCTGCAACTGGCAAATTTCTTTCTCCAGTTCCATTATGAGCTTTTGCGATCGATCAATGGAGGCCACGAGTGTTCCTCCTTCGCGTTTCCATCTGGTCAGACGTTCCAACTCGGCGTTTCGCCGCCGGTACTTGGTTTCGATCTTGTCGCAGAGCCGACATTTTGCCGTCTCATACTCAGTCATATTGACGAGCCTCATGCCACATGTTTCGCCCGTTCGGTACTCATAGTTGCAACGGTGAGCAAAGCTGGTCCAGCTCCAGTCTCCGCACGCAAATCTCTTTTGGTTGTAGAAGCACATGCCTATCAGATCCGTCAACGGAGTCCAGTCTGGGGTACTGATCAAACTCACTTGCCCGTCCGGGATCGTTGTTTCAGCTTTTTCGATATATTTGATTGGTCCAATTTGAGGGCCCTACCACTATGCACTATATGATAGGCCACAAATCAAGATGGCCAATTGAGGAACGAAAACAATATAAGAAGCTGAAACGCTTGATATCAAGAAGAAAGCTTTATCACTTATGAGATTCTCTGATGTTGCCAGGTCTGAAACTAACAGTGATTGAAACTCCATATAGACGAGGGACTGAAGGACCCTATTTATGTTTCGTGAGATCTACCATGTTACAGTTCAGCTAGTTCCCTATTGTACGTGTCCATCCAGTCCATCGTCAATCAGGGAACTCGCTCAGCACACAATGGCTTATCGAATCCGGCGAAGTATCATCGCATCCGCATCACTCACCTCGGATCACCCTTGCGGTTGGCTGTGATGGCTTCGCCAAAGCAGTGGGGTCGCAATAAAATGCTCAAATGGACCCTCCATGGGGCAATGGCAATGAGCGATTGCTTCATGGTGCATGCATCTTGTTGTCGTGGCCGTCTCTTTTCTTCTTCGGGCTTGAACTGAAAGTTCGAAAATGCCTCATTCAATATCATTCCGTCATCCAGATTGGGTCACCGTTACTGCCTTGGCTACTCGGTTGATTCCCCGCTTCATTCAGGTAAATACATTCCATATCAAGCCGTCCTTGCGAACCAAGCACTTCCTTTTCCGTCTCCTTGAATCAGACCTCCTGCATGCATGAGCTGTCTCGTGCCAACTATGGTGCCGTCTTGCCATCAAACTTTGGCTACGTCCAGGACGCACCTCGCATTCTATGAGCGTGATGCGGGCTTCCATTTCTCGGTATACTAGCCCGGTCTATCCGATCCAAGCACAAGAATTCATCAGGAAAACTCACAACCAATCGATTTTAAGCCTTCTCGAAAGCTTTGCTATGGACTCGGGACAAAAGTCAAACTTGGTGGCTTGCAAAGTAACACGCCCATGAAGTACTATTTCCGTCTCTCTTTCTCTCTTTTGCTCATTTTTTCTTGTCGACCAGTGTCTTCAATGCCCGTAGCCTGTCTTTCTCCGGCTACACTGTCCATACAATGGTTCTTCAATCTATCCGCTGCAGGGGTATCATGCGTTGAGTCTACAGATGTCTTCTGGATTTCGCGTCCTCCCATTTCATTGTTGCAGCCCAGGGTTGTCACTTTCCTAGTGGCAAAAGACGCGTCACTAAAGGATATCGGTTGGCATTCATTGCACCATTGCCATTAGGTCTTGAGGCTGATGGTGATGAAAGTGGTATGATAAACTTCAGTTTTTTGCAGGGATGCGTTTCTTTCAGCTGATCTCTTACATCTGCAGACGAGTAATCCTCCATTTGCCTCCACCCGTGTGCAGGCTGTGGCTTCATCCGCTTGCCTTCCTCGTCCCAGGTGATAGGGCATTACTTGATCCGTTGAGCATGGCAGGAACTGACCGTGGCACGGTGCACACACTGTCCATATCCATGCATCTGCGCTAGAGCTCAGAGTCTCTCTGACGTGGCATCCTTCGTCTGGCCCAGAGATATGAATTCATGTACGTTGAGACCACTGTGGGTGCTCCAAAGTCGAGACCATCAATTCGCAACTCTGGATTACAGCTCGGGGAACTGGTCTCGTCTGCCTCCATTCGGAAAAGCCTGGGTACCACCTTAGGAACTCCACTTACCCGAACATCCTAGGCCGCCTTCTAATGCAATCAATTTCAGCCTGGTTTTCTTTATTCTGGTCTGGGATCGTCGGACAGCTTCATTTGATGATCCCTGAGTTGAGGGCTCGAGCAATGGATCCAGGCTGGGATATCGGTTGCCAGCTCAGCGGTCGTCAAGTGCTGCCTTGGTAGCCGCAATGACTGCAGGGAAAGCCCAGTATGCTACTGTGGGAGGACCGACCAAGCCTACCTCCAAAACGCGTTTTGCCACCTTTCTAAGAACGGTTTACACATCTTCTACTGTAGCATGCTATGATTTCAAAAGCAAGGATCAGGCTGAGCTAGTCTAGCATCGGTCCTTGCTAGCCAGCCAAAGTTCCTCTCTCATGCGGGATTCTGACCCGGCTAACACAGTTGGCGTTGATGAAATCGTCAGTACGAGCCTCCGGATGCCCAGTGAATACATCCCGTCAATGTCAAAATTGAATTTTACGACACACATGTACTTCCCATCATGCCGAGTTCGTCCAGTCCCGTGATCATAAAGCCGACGGAGGCTCCTGCACATTCAGGGAGCGGGCTTTTTGCAGGTAGCAAATGGAAGCCCTTATCCTCAGCAGGAAATTTTAAGGTAAGGGTGCATTTCTGCCGTGTTATACCTACGTGAATGTATTGGCTAATAGTGGGAAGCATGCGAAAAGCCATCATTCGACTGCGTCCAATCAGTGCTCTGCAGTCGCTGGCAGTTTATGCAGCTAAAAGAACACCCTAGGTAGGTGCCGGCTGCACAATTAGAGCCCAGACTGTCTGAGTCGAAACATGATTGGCCTACAAGCAGGACAGCGCCAATTGAACATTAATACCTAGATGCTAGGTCGCATATGCAAGTTGCCTCGTGCAAGTGTCCACTTAGGTACTTTCGTTCAAATTCAGACAGCCTTGAACTGGACATGTCAGTGCTGTTCTCCCGTTCGGCCCGTGAGAAGAGGAGCTGTTGTCTACTCCAGTCAAGAGGCCTAGTCGGCACCCCGCGCAGCTTATGCTCGAGAGGGGGAGTGATCGCAACTAACGCCTAGTGATGTCGATATGCAAGCAACCCCAGGGTCTTCGGCGGTTCTTCATTTTCCGAAAGTGGGCTTGAAGTAATCAATACCGGAGCCTGACGTGTCTGCGGAGACGCATGAGCGTACAGAACCCCTAGAAAGTTACGATAACTTCGTCTCTTGCATCTGGTATTGCTCAGATGATATTTCCAACGGATTGACGTGGCTGAACAGGTTGGACTTTTATCGAGTCATCGTCTCGCCAATCGTAGGTGCGTCGTAGTCTCGTTGCGCGAAGGAATCATTCATCTCCCTACTTAGCTACGCTAGGTAGGACTAGATTGACGAAGACTGACTGAACAGTTGTGCTCCTACTTTGGTCAATCTATCCTTCTTTTTCGGTAGATCATATCACCTGACAAGAAATCGATTGCTGCGCTAGTCCATGTAGCTTGCTTGAATATGACCAATGGCAAAAAGAAAGATGTAGCTCTTCAAAGAATAGGGCAACATTTGCTTGCAAGTTACATACTTGGAACGGAAAACCCTTGATCAAGACGTGTCTCCCTTTATGTCGTTGTCCCACCGTCATCACGTGGCAGAGCAGGTTTCAAAGATACCCTGCAGAAGGATGACGTCAACATGATTGATGAACAAAAAGCATCGACTCGACATGGTCCTTTCCAACTCCTTTTAACATCTCAAATCATTATACACCCGAGTTTTAGAAAGGCAAGTCTTCAGAAGAGATGTTTGAGAAGAACTGCTTAAGGCTAACTGTTTTCTAGTACAAGTCTACCCGTCTTCTTCTACAATTGGCATTACTAGTCTTCCCGCTTGAAGAAACCAGCCTTATTCCTACACTTTATCGTCTTAGACCGCCACATAAATACCTTGAATCTTATCATTATGACGATGCTCAAAGGCTTCATATCAATTGGTCAATTGGGCCACAACGCCGCCAGAAACGCCCGCCGAGTTTCTTTTCGGCCAGGCTTTCAGGCACCCGTCACTGCTGTGCCACAAAGGAGAGCTTTTCGCTCATTTCCATGCTTGCGGAGATCCGAAGAGCAGCCAAGAATGCATAACAGAAACGAACTAGATCCGCAGCGATCGGAGGGCACAAAGACCGGTACCGACAACGAAGTCGCAACCCATCACACGGCCTACGATCCAAACACCACTTCCCCCGAAAGCGAAATGAATCAAGCTGAGAAGGAAAGCGAACAGGGAGGCAAAGTCAGCAATCCCTTGGACGTAAGTGCTGCGAACAAAGATGTCAGTGGAGCACGTGATCCGCAAGAAGGAGGGCCGGACCACAATGCAGAGAAGGAACCGAGTGGGAGAGGATCGCCGAGGAAGGGAAGAGAGGTGCACGTCGGAGGTAAAAAATAAGTGCAGTCGTATGTTGAGGTAACTCAAGGCGCAAGGCGTCGCTGCCAGACTTGGCATGAATATACACTCTGATCTTGTCACATAAGGGTTCGAGAGCAATACTCTTCCTGAACTGCAAAGAACATCTAAGAGCAGATACCTTCTTGCAATTGTCCGGTCACCAATATGATACAACAATAATAAAGAGAATATAATAACCAAGTTGTGCCTTCGAGGTTGGTGCAGACCGAAGTTATTTCTTTCCCCCGTATTTGATGATGTCACTGCCGCCCAAAATCCATAGTTTCTCGCTACCAGGAGGAACATCACCGTCCAGAGCTTTGAGACCTGCATTGACCGCTGCTCGAGCAATAACGTCTGCATCTTGAGCCCATCCATCTTTCAATCCCGAGTGAACTTTCCCGGCAATGCCAGCAATGAACCGGAATGCTGCTTCCGCTGGTCGACTCTCCTGCCGTTGGCCGGATATCAGACCAGGGCGCAAAATCACCGTTCTCTCAAACCCCAGGGCCTTCACGTCTTCTTCAATCTCGCCTTTCATACGAGGATACGCGAAAGACGATGCCTTATTAGCCCCGCCAGACGAAATCAGGACATAGACTTTCGTACCGGCATCGCGCGCTGCGCGAGCCATTTCTACATTCAGACCATGCTCCACCTTGTATTGATTCTCGAATCCACCAGCAGCCGCCCGAGTAGTGCCAAAGGCGGATATGAAGATGGATGGAGTTGGAGTGAGAGAAGAGAGTTGAGCAGCCCAACGAGATGTATCATCAGATACGAAAGTGGTGAGTTGTGTCTGTGGTGCCGCAGCAGCAGCGGATGGAGTGCGGCGGGAGATTGTATCCACCCGAGCTACAGCGGGATTTTCGAGAAGGCTAGTGAGGATGTGACTGCCCTAGGAAATTTGAACGTTAAGGAAAGGAGATACGCATGTGGCGCGGAGAGAGCTTACCACCATCCCAGTAGCTCCTATCAATGCAACATTCGCCATGGTGTCTGAATGCTATCGTTGGAAACTGAAGCGTAGTTGTACTGTACAAAAGAGTACAAAAGTACCTCTGTATGTACAATGTGTCAAAACGCAAGGGATATGGCTTGCAGAGATCACATTCATTCCCCAAGCGCGATCGAATGACGTCGAACGGGGGCTAGACTCAGATGGGGTGCTCATGCCTCAGGCACCTTCAGATATTGCACGTGCAATGATGTCTGACTAATGCGGGGAGGGTCCGAAGACGGAGGATTCTCCCCCAGTTTGCCGCTCTATCGATAACGCCGATAAGAAATTGCGTGATTGCCGCTAGCCGCTTTGGGCAAGGCCCTGGGGACATTTTCTATACTCCGAATCCGTCTTCTTATTGCCATTGCCCCCCTCCTCAGCTTGCTGTGGTAATTCCTTCGTTTTTGTTTTTCTCTTTTCATCTGCGAGGTGTCGGCTGAGTGCGTTTGATACCCAGACAAGGAAACCTCAAGATGAGCTCTTCTTCACCATCTTTGTCTGCCCTCGGTGGCCCTACGTATGTCACTGCCCAGGCGTTGATCCAACAAGTCGCCTACATCCTCAGCGACAAGATCTTCTCCTATTCGCCTGAGAGTTTCGATCTGGACAATGCTCTGCGTGAATGGGCATCGCGTCAGGAAACCAATGCTAATGGCGAATCTACCGTCGTCAAGGCTATGGAGACCCGCCAGGGTGCCGGTAACATCGCCCTCGGCTATCTCTTCTCTCAAGATTTTGATCTGAAGAAGCGCCATGTCCCTCAGGGTATCGTTGCTTCTTCGGCAACTCTCCCCTACATGCGCTCGGCTCTGGAGCAGCTATCTCTGTTGTATTCAGTCGCTAGCCCTGTTGCTGCGCACGTTGCCGCCGTAGATTACGCCGGTGAGGGCGGACTGGTCTCGGATTATGCTTCAGCGCTCTCTCTCGCTGAAGAGCTTGGCCTGGGTCTTGTTTCAAGTGCCTCCGTGCATGAGGCTCAGCATATGGCGCTGCTCACGACCCTCCTCGCTTCTGTTTTGCCCTCGGTTCACATCTATGACGGTGTCCGCGTTGGCCGTGAGACTACCCGTGTCATTGATGTTCTGGATCAGGCGGGCGTTGCTCGTACCTACGAGGCCATTCGCAAGACCTTGGATGAGTCCCGTAACCGTCACCTAGACACCCAAGGGAAGGTTCTGGAGCTGTTCGCTTCTCTGAACGGCGAACTCGGCACAGACTATGGTCTTTTCGAATACCACGGTCACGCCGAACCCGTTTCCGTTCTGGTTGCTTTCGGTACCGTCGAGGCGTCTCTCACTGCGCAGGTTGCTCGCTCGTTGGCAAAGGATGGTGTCCGCGTCGGTGTTGTCAATGTCCGTGTTTACCGTCCTTTCGTTGAGGAGGAATTCCTGCGTGTTCTCCCTCAATCGACCAAGACTGTGGGTGTCCTTGGTCAGGTCACCGATGAGCAAGCTGTGCAAGAGCAAGGTGTTCGCTCTGCCCTTTACGAAGACGTGCTTGCGGCTTTGACCTTTGCCTCTGGTCGAGAACATGCGCCTACCTGCGTCGACATCAAATACCCCCGCTCTCAGCGTTGGGACCTGATAAACACTGCCGCTGCCTTCCAACTCATCTTCGAAAAGCCCATTGTTCCGGCCAGCGGTGAAAGCGCGCCTCTTCAGCTTATCGACCCTGCTACCGTGCAGGAGTACACTTTCTGGGATGTTGACAGCTCTGTTTGCGAATCTGCTGCTGCTGTCCTTTCTGAGGCCCTTGCTGCTGATTCCGCTAGCAATGTCACAACATCCAAGTCTCACGACAACCTTATTCAGGGAGGAGCCGTCCGTATCGACATCCGCAAGAGCTCCAAGATTCTCGATACCCCCTATGCTATTACTGCTGCAGACACAACATACGTTGGAGACATCAAGCTTCTTGGAGACATCGACGTTGCCGCCTCCATCAAGGACAAGGGCAAAGTCATCATCAACGCCCCCGGCGTCAAGGACGATGAGTTGGAAAAGAAACTACCATTGGGCTTCAGACAGGCTGTTGCTCAGCGTGAAATTTCTCTCTACATCGTCGATTCATCGGCGGCCGGTGCCTCTGCTCCTGAATCCTCTATCCTCCAGTCAGCCTTCCTTAGAGTGGCACTTCCCTCTCAGGAAGGGGTCGGCCTTAAGAAGCTTTCTTCTATCACTGGAGACTCCGAGGCTCTTGAGAATGTCACTAAAGACCTTGACAAGCTTCTCCGTCAGATCGAGATCCCCGAGGCTTGGAGGACCGAAGAGGGAACTGAGGTTACTCAGCTTCCCAAGGATATCTCCATCAACAGCTTCGTTCCCTTCGACAAGGATGAAGCGGAGCCAGCTCCTCTCCTCAATGATTGGCAGGCAGCGGCCAAGGGTCTCGCATTCAAGGAGGCTTACGGCACCAAGAAGGCTCTTCGTCCCGAAACGGCCACCAAGACCTTCACCGTTCACGTCAAGGAGAACAGACGCTTGACCCCTGTCACTTATGATCGAAACATCTTCCACATTGAGTTCGATCTTGGTGACTCTGGGCTCAAGTATGATATTGGCGAAGCCCTAGGTGTGCACGCTGAGAATGATCCCCAGGAAGTTTCGGAGTTCATCACATTCTATGGTCTCAACCCCGACGATGTTGTCGGTGTTCCCAGCCGCGAGGACCCCGCGGTCCTTGAGAACCGCACCGTCTACCAGGCTCTCGTCCAAAACGTCGACATTTTCGGCCGGCCGCCTAAGCGCTTCTATGAGGCCCTCGCAGAATTCGCCACCGACGAGAAGGACAAGAAAGACCTTCTCACACTGGGTGGTCCTGAAGGTGCCGTGGAGTTCAAGCGCCGCGCCGAGGTTGACACCATCACTTTCGCCGATGTCCTGCTGGAGTACCCCTCAGCTCATCCTGACTTCCAAGACCTGATCCGCATCGTCGGCCCCCTGAAGCGCCGCGAGTACTCCATCGCTTCCTGCCAGAAGGTGACGCCCAACTCGGTTGCGCTCATGATCGTTGCTGTCAACTGGGTTGATCCCCGTGGCCGCGACCGCTTTGGTCTCGCCACTCGGTACCTTAGCCGCCTCCAGCCCGGCACTCCGGTCACTGTCAGCGTCAAGTCCAGCGTGATGAAGCTGCCACCCAAGTCCACTCAGCCCCTCATCATGGCCGGTCTCGGAACGGGTCTTGCTCCCTTCCGTGCCTTCGTGCAGCACCGTGCCCTCGAGAAGGCGCAGGGCAAGGAGATCGGTGCTGTGCTCTTATACATGGGATCCCGTCACCAGCGCGAGGAGTACTGCTACGGTGAAGAATGGGAGGCTTACCAGGAAGCCGGTGTCATCACTCTCCTTGGCCGTGCCTTCTCTCGTGATCAGCCTGAGAAGATTTATATCCAGGACCGCATGCGCGAAACACTGCCTGAAATCATCCAGGCCTATATCCGGGAAGAGGGTGCCTTCTACCTTTGCGGTCCCACCTGGCCTGTTCCTGATGTGACTGCCGTGCTGGAGGAGGCCATTGCCACCGAGGCTAAGAACACAGGCAAGAAGGTCGACACTCGCAAGGAGATCGAGAAACTCAAGGATGAGGAGAGATATGTTCTTGAAGTTTACTAGATAGATTTCGTTCAGAGGAAGCTGTTGAGATTTTCGCTACGTTTCCCGCACCGCTGCCATTGCATGATGTGACGACCCCCATTTGTCCCATTTCAGTTTAGCGCTTCCATCATGAGACTCAACGATAGATTTGGATTTCTGCGATGACAGTGCTTCAACTCATGTCATGTCCATAGACTTTAATTGCGTTTCAATCTTGAACCGTTCATGGGATTCTGATGGGTATCTGCTCTATTCCTCTATACCTGCAATGTAGACTCAATTGATAGCACAAGGCTCACGCCAACACCTTCTATCCCTAAGAAAACCGTGTATGCATGCGGAGACAGGAAATGAGAAAAGAGTTATAAACAATTAAAAGTAAATGGATATAGTTCTTCCAAAGACCCTACGCTCGTCCCACAGCTCCCAACTTCGTCTTACCATAAGCTCCACCCTTTTCCTTCCGTAGCTCCAACGCTCGCCGATAAGGCGGTGCCGTAGGTGGCTGAACAGGATCTAAGTTGACATAGTCCGGGGGCAAGGAGTATGAAGCATCGGAGTCCCAGGACGAGAGATCGCCACAGGCAATGAATGGAGGGATCCATCGGTTCTCGACAGCGAAACGCTGGGGCTTGTTCGCCAGAGACGGGTTTGAAGATTGCGGATGAAGCATGCGGATTTGAGTTTGTTGGTTTGAATCAGATGCAGACACCGTCGCTGCTTCTGAAAGTGTGACTGGCTCTCTTGGTGATACAGTATCCTCGTCGGGTACTTCGACTCCGATGTTGCCATCCGGGGATACGGGCTGAGGTACTGCTGCGCCGCCAAAGAGAGGGTTCTTCAATGCTTCCATTCCGACCGAGCCGTCATGGATGGCTGGAGGAATAAAGCCCTCGCAGACCACGAAGGCCTCTAAACTGCTCGCGCGACTGCTTCTCGGCTTTGCAACACTCACTTTCTCAAATACCGTGCGGAGCTGTGCGTAGATGAGGTCGACGTCGCGGCCTCGGAAGATCTTGGCGACGAACTTGCCTCCTGGCCTCAAGACGCCCACTGCCAGGTTTAATGCGGAGTAGAGAAGCTGTGACTGAACGTAGATGTCCAGATCGTGCAAGCCGGTGACGTCCGGTGCACCATCAGAGATGACGAGATCAACAGGGTGGGGCTGTTGGATGGCCGAAGGGGTGGAGGAAGATGCTGAGTCGTAAGCTTCAGGATCGAGGGCACGAAGGAGCAGAGGGATCGTAGACGGATGTGTGATGTCGGCTTGGAGCGTTGTGATACCTTCCAATGGCGCCATGGGTTGGAGGTCAATTGAGACGATTTTCACGTTCCTTCTGGGCTTCAACTGAGCAACGTCGTCCTTCCCCTCTTCTTCAGCTGGACTCTCACTTTCCGATCCATGATCGATTCTTCTCAAAGCCTCGCTCTCTTTTCGCTTTTTCTCTATCCACGCCCGCCGGCCAAAGCTCTCTCCCTTGATCAGGACTCGACTGAGGACTTGACTCCAACTTCCTGGCGCGGCGCAAAGGTCAACGACTCGCGTCACCTTCTCGGGGTTTTCATGTTCGAACAAATCAAATTGTTCGTCGATCTGAATCAGTTTGAAAGCGGAACGGGCACGCCAGTTTTGTTCCTTCGCGAGGCGATAGTAGGCGTCACGCTTATCTTTGGAAGATTTCCCCATTTTCAGGAACCGATAACAATCCCTCGCAAGTACTGGGATTGCAAGGCAGTGTAGATGTATAAATTGCTGTCCAGTTGGATCCCTGGTAGAAATTCGATGTGGGGGAGATGAAGCGATAAGATTAAAATCCGCGAAAAGGCGGGCCTCTTTTCTGCCGCTTTTTTTCATCTCCGCAAGTAAAAAAGATCATCACCGCTTCCATTGATTTGCGTCGCAAGCCGCGATTCTTCCACTTAGCACCCTTCAGGTCGACACTGGAAATCATGGGCCAAAAAAGGCAGCGCGACTCGAAAAGCTCGACCTTCCACGCTAAAAAGCGGAAGAAGGCCGAAAACGCGACGGCACCTGATTCGGACGACGGCTGGGATGGTATCGTCGGCGCGGACGAGCTGAACTGGAAGGAAGTAGCTCTGCCTGATCATCTCGAGGATGCTGGAGGCTTTTTTGGTCTGGAAGAAATTGAAGGTGTTGATATAGTGCGAGGTTCGGGCAATGGAGAGGTTAAATTCAAGGTACGCTGAGGCACATGCTGACTGGGTGAAGAATGATCCATTGACACACAATGACCCCAGGCCGTTGCTGGGAAACCGAAGAAGTCTATTTTGAAAAAGAAGGCGCCAGAGGATGAGAACTCCGAATACGATGAGGAGTGGTCAGGCTTCAGCGACGACGACGCGGACCGGCCAGAAAACGCTTCCTCACCCGCCGTAGAGAAACCTGAAAAGTCGGACACGAAGGCGGACAAGAAGAGCGAGAAGAATGCCGACAAGAAGGAAGCCAAGGATGCAAAGAAGAAAGAAGCTAAAGCTGCGAAGAAGGAACAGAAGGAGAAAGGTTCGGCAATTCAGCACGATACGAGCATTAATGCCGGCCTTTCGTTTGCCGCTCTTCAAGATACGGAAGAAGATGATGGAGCCGATGTCTCTGCTTGGGACTCGCTGGGTCTCTCTCCCGAGATACTCACTGGCCTGTCCAAGATGAAATTTGCCTCTCCGACATCAGTGCAGGAGGCTTGCATACCTCAGATATTGGAGGGACATGACGTTATTGGAAAGGCTTCTACGGGTTCCGGAAAGACGCTGGCATTCGGTATTCCCATCCTTGAACATTACCTGGAGAAGAAGCGCGATGATATTAGTGCAGAGAAGGAGAAGAAGTCAGAAAAAGACTCGACTCCAATCGCTCTGATTCTGTCACCCACCAGAGAGCTTGCTCATCAGTTGTCGAAGCATATTGGGGAGCTGATCGCCCAAGCTCCGGGTGTTAATGCACGCATTGCGCTTTTGACCGGTGGGCTCTCGGTGCAAAAACAGCAACGTCTGCTGTCCGGAGCTGATATCGTGATCGGAACACCGGGTCGAGTGTGGGAAATTTTGAGCACTGGGCAAGGGTTGATTCGGAAGATGCAGCAGATCAAATTCCTTGTAGTCGACGAGGCCGATCGCCTTCTGAGTGAGGGTCACTTCAAAGAGGTTGAAGAGATTTTGAACGCTCTGGACCGTGTCGAGGATGGCGAGGTTCCTGGTGGTGAAAATCAAGCATCGGAAGAGGAATCTGATCCTAGCTCTGAAAGACAGACATTGGTTTTCTCCGCCACCTTCCACCGTGATCTGCAACAGAAGTTGGCTGGTAAAGGGAAGTGGACCGGAGGAGATGTTATGGATAAGAAAGAATCCATGGACTACCTCCTGCAAAAGCTGAACTTCCGAGAGGAGAAGCCCAAGTTCATCGACATGAACCCCATCTCGCAGATGGCCGACAACCTCAAAGAGGGGATTGTCGAATGTGGCGCCATGGAAAAAGTGAGTTTTCATTGGCGTTCGGTAATGTAGAGTCTACGACTAATGACGTTTCAGGATCTCTTCCTCTATACACTACTTCTATACCATCCCAAACACCGGACACTCGTCTTCACCAACTCGATCTCTGCCGTCCGTCGTCTCACTAAACTCCTTCAGACTCTCCAACTCCCAGCCCTTGCCCTTCATTCGTCCATGGCCCAAAAGGCACGACTTCGCTCGGTCGAACGTTTCTCTTCACCCTCATCCGATCCCAGTACCATCCTAGTAGCCACTGATGTAGCGGCCCGCGGTCTCGACATCAAAGGGATCAACCTCGTCATCCATTACCATGCACCCCGAACAGCAGATACCTACGTTCATCGCTCCGGCCGTACAGCTCGTGCTGGCGCATCCGGTAAGAGCGTGATTATCTGCGGACCCGACGAGATGGTCGGTGTTGTCCGTCTCGCTGCCAAGGTGCATGCGAACATGGCAAATGGAAAAAAGCTGCCGCTGGAATCATTGGAGCTGGACCGTCGCGTCGTGTCGCGCGTCAAGCCCCGGGTTAGCCTCGCCAGCCGCATCACTGATGCTAATATAGCCAAGGAGAAGATCTCAGCAGAGGACAATTGGCTGCGCAACGCCGCGGAGGATCTGGGCGTTGAGTACGACAGCGAGGAATTCGACGAATCCAACGGCAAAGGGCGTGGTCGCGGCCGTGGTCGTCATCAGAAGCAGAAGGAGGTAGGGAGCGTCAGTAAGGCCGAGCTGGCAGGGTTGCGAGCGGAGTTGAAGCAGTTGCTTTCCCAGCGGGTGAATGTGGGCGTTAGCGAGCGGTATCTAACTGCTGGGCGTGTGGATATCGATGCATTGCTCCGTGGAGAAGGCAATGCTTCGTTCCTGGGGCCGGTTGATCCACTGCACTTTTAAGCAGTATGTATATACCATACCAAAGAGTAATTGTCTTAAACCTTCACATTCAATTTCAGTCTCAATAGTTTGCGTTCTTCAAGAACCGCCGTGGTAGCATACATTGACAAACAATACCGCATCATCTTAAGGCTCTCTACCTTTACAATAGCACACTTTTCCACCAGATATTAAACAGACAAAGTATCGTAATCAGCCATCCTAACAGGACTCCACTCGATGCTAACGCGAATCCTTACAACCGGTTCAGCCTGCATCTCCGACAAGCTCGAATCCCACACTGTCCACATTGCAAGATATAGTTCGGAAGATGGTCGCGGCATTCCTCGCACTGATGAGCCCCTGGGACGCGCGGCCAGAACTCTTCGTGATCGCATTCATGTCGTTCAAGTAACCGCTGTACCATCTGCTGGACCTGTTCTGGTCTCGCCGGCTGAGCAGGTTGAGCGGGGTCCCTGCCGCGGTCAACGAGATAGCGAGCTCTATCAACCAGTCTGTTCTCATCCCACAACTCGCATCGGCACTGCCGCCATTTGGTACCGCACGCGTAGCAGAACTCAGCACCGCAGCGACAGCTGAACGATATACGATTAGAGTCGAACTTCGCGTGAAGATGATAAACTTACGTGATGTGATTGCAACCTGTTCCAAGCTCAATCATATTTCTGCACTGAAAGCAACGCCGCCAACCCTCACGCTCGGCAAGTTGTAGGAGCTCTTCGTCTTCGTCGGGGCAGTCACCCTCGTGCGCGGGCTTCTTGCACCGCATGCACGTTCTGGAGGAGCAATGACTGCACGTGCCGATATAAGAAGACACTGAATACGGAAAGATGTATTCGGAGCACGAGGGGTTTGAACAGTAGGTACGATGCGGGTCGCTGAACTCGATGGCCTTCTCCTCGAATTGCTGGCTCCGCGCCAAACCGAGGAACCCACTGACAAGTGAGAGTGGAATCTCCTTTCTGCAGCAACGAGGCGGGAACAGGGTCTCATCTGTCATGGAATCTTGGAACAGTCTTACTGCACAGATCCGGCAGTATGTGTGGCTGCAGGGAGCTGGGATTATATCTGTCGACGGAACAAGTTCTGTGCACACGGCACACTCATAAAGGAGTCCCTCATTGGAAGGGCCAGCGATGCAACAACGCTTAGGGTTCCTGGAGCTCTCAGCTTCTGCGTGCTGACTAGCAACTCTCGTGGGGAGAAGGTCGAAGTCGGTGTCTGCAAGCGTCAAATCAATGTAGTCCTTCATTTTGTCTTCAGAAAGCTGGACCGCAACTGATTGATCGTGGGGCTGGGGCTGCTGTGGTGGGGGTACAGGCTGTCCGGACAGTTCGAGAGCGAGTCTATGATCGTCAGAGGCACGGAGCTCTTCTTGCCTTGCGGTTGTGACTGCGACGCCGTCATCGACTACAGCTCGAGCAATGCTTCTCGCAAGTCGTTCATCCTCGAGAGATCGGTTGTAATTGTCTAGTTCCTCTTCCCACAGCTGAAGAGCGAGTTCTTCGTCTGATGATTGCCCAACAGGCTGTTTTCCCTTATTGCGGTCCATGGTATCCCTTATGTCCTCGCGTAAGATGTCGAGAATTATGGCGGAACTAGCCGCATCCATGCTTGGGTGACGATATAGGTACTGAGGTGTATAACAGACTTGGAGATGGAAGAAAGGAATAGAAGCTCGAGGAGTCTAGGACGGATGAAGAAGGGGAAGAGAGGGTAGGTGAGATGAAGTGTCGAGGTGACAGAAGGTGGGAGAAGACTGAGCAGAGAGCAGAGGTTTAGCCATTCACTGAGAGCAGCACATGATTACCAGCTAGACAACAGATTCACTTGAGATCTGCTCTTATGCCATTTGCACTCTGTCTTCGAAAGTTACTATATGTGGAAATAGATCATTCATTAGAGCTTAAACACGGTTAATACCTTATCAAGTCCAGTTTTTCAGTATAGAGAGTATAGAGAGCTCTCAGGTTGATTCTCAGGTTGATTCCGTACAGATTTAGCACGCCTATACTGTCTCAAGCGTTTATCTACTTACTCTTAACTTTCTCTGGTAGTTCTTGACTGACGGTTAATTCAGCCTGTTCACTACTTCTATATACTATAGAGTGGTTGAGTGCTAAAGAAGGGCTAGAGAGTACGCGCTGACTTCGTACTCTCAAGATTTGCTTGCATTCCGATTTGACAGAACCATATGTATTTCTCCTATAATTTGCAACCTGTAAAATATATATGAACCATATATGAGTCTATATCAGTCATGCTTGACTCTATCATATGATCATATCCTTTCAGTTAGTTCTCAGTCGGTCAGTCCATACTTCAAGAATGCACTACAAGTACAACTAGTATGACTCCGACCTCACATTCTCATAAACAACGCACAGTATCAGTCTACAGCCTGTTACACATTGATCGGAGCCCATTATCATAATATCTCACCAAACCCTCATGTTCCTAGGCTAGGCTAGTTTATATACAAGATGTACGGAGCATATATTCGCGCTAATCCCGCCTCGGCAAACCGATACCAAGAACCAAACTCTCGGCATGCCGATCTTCTTATCTAAGTTATCTCCCAACGTACCAAAATTGCGTTCTCGTTCTTTCGATTTAACCGTTAGTTTACCCACTTTCGGGATTCATCCGCCAATCCCTTTCGAGAAGAGCTGCAAATTTGATCCCGATGACGGCACTTCTTTTCGGCCTGAACCCCGAGTCTTGCAGCTAGTTTTTTGTAAATTCTGGATCTGGATCTTGGTGTTGGGTTTCGTTTTGTGATTCTGTGATTTGCTGCACTTTGCTTGTGTTTTAATCGGGAGCGGAGGACTTTAGACTGTACTAGACTCTTATTTCTGAGCTCGTGGTGAGTCTTATCTATCTTGCATTTGTTGATATGATCCCTGCTCCGATTGAGGATGGCCGAGGAGTAGTCGTTGAAGAAAGCTGCGACGAAGGAAGTACGCGAACTGGTTACTGACCTGTCATACTACCTAAGACTTAACTAGGTACACATCACTGAGGATATAAATCCGACATAAAACCGCCATGTCGTGGCTAGCAAGGCCCTCCCGCTGCCTGAGCAGGGTCAACCCAACGACCAGACTCGTCGCTCCCGTATCTACATGCCGCTCCTCTCAACGATGCATCCAGGGCGCATCAGCCGTTGCTCAAGATCACCACTCGAGTCACACATCTTCCGCCGTTGACGATGGCTCCTCCTCATTTCTCCCCAATCATACAGCGTCAGCGGCGCAACGCCCCCGCCCTCAAACCAATCCCATCGACGACTTAATCTCCCAAACACCTATCGTACAAGCCCTCCGTCGCGATCCCACCTACACAGAATCCCGCCCTCATCTTGCAATGAACCCCAGCCTTCGCCCGAACCACTTTGTCGCAGGACCCAACTCAGGCCCAGGCAAGATCACCGTCCCGCCCTATGTCTGGATGGCGAAGAACCCGCGCACCGCCGCCGGAACGACGACCAGCCGCATGGTGTCGGTGTTCCATATCGGGGTGCAGCTCTGCGGTCATCCGGGGTTCGTGCACGGCGGTCTGCTGACGGTGATGTTCGACGAGGCGTTTGCGCGCTGCGTTTCGACTTCGTTTCGCAGTGGGCTGGGCATGACGGCCAACCTGAACGTGGATTTCCGGAAACCCGCGCTGCCGGACCGACTCTATGTGCTTCGGGCGGAGACGGTCAAGGTTGAAGGCCGGAAGGCGTGGGTCGAGGGGACGTTAACCTCGTTGCCGCCCGTGGGCGACACGAGTGAGCCTGTTATGGTTGCCGAGGGCAAGGCTCTGTTCGTAGAACCGAAATTCGCAGAGGTATGTTGCGACGATAAGTTCCCACAGGATGATTGCCAGACTGACTCAGCCAATAAGTCCATGGTCCCCTTGTACAGAGGCTGAAACTACACGTCGCTGGTTGCAAAAGCCTACGCGCACCCCTGTTTTCCCCGCCGTCAATGATAGAAGGCTCCGTATTAATAAAATTATAGAGAAGGATAGAGTAGATAGACTTGGCGTTAGCATAATAGAATTTAATGACCACAATAAATTAACACAAGACTAGATAATTCCATTTCTATCTAGCAGATATTTCTGAAACCGAGAACCCTCTGGACTCCTTACCAAGCTGGAATATTAACAAGTAGAAACAACAAGTGCAAATTTGATAAACTCAAAGACGACAGAGGCGAAGTAATAGAAAGAATGATTCCCGTCGGTCGTCACGAGAATACATCGCCAAGGGGTATGATGCTGTCACTAGATACCGTACCAATATGCTGACCGAAAACGCTCTTCTTTTTTTTTTTTTTTTCAATTGCGTCATAAGTTTTTCCTTGATTTTTGATTGTAGATGACGTTAAGTGTGTGATGTCCCTATGTCACGGGAGGAGACACGGAGGCGAACGACTTTTATGAGGCCAAAGAAGGATGATCGACAGTGACCGAATCTAGGACAGGTGGAAGGCACCCTGACCCTCTCGAATAGCAACGGACAGCCGCTCTCGAAGAACCTCCAGGCTGCTGTAGTCTGGCAGTTTGAGGTAGTTCACACACGTCATGACGCTGGGAAGGTAGTCATCGGGAGTGTAAGGAGGTTCACTGGGACGACAGACAACGGTGAAGATAGGGGTTAGACTCTTGAAACCTGGAAAAAGAATAGAAAGTTAGTCACTATTGTTCAGCTCAAAACAAAGAGAGAAGATGCAATTTACCCCCAATAGGAAGCTTCGGGCTGCCGGTGACAAATTGGAGGAAATCGCGTCGTTGCTGGGTATCTAACTCGCTCATTGTCTGCAGTAAGTTTCGAACGCTCTTGCTGTCCATATTAAATCCGTGATCGGCCTTGATTGAGTCCATGAGAGCTAAAGCCATGATGTTAGTGAGCAGCTTCTCGGCTATCAAATACGGAAGGTAACTTACTCTCAATAGTCCAATCTTCTTCCGCTCTTCCGAACAGCATGACGAGCTCGTTAGGGGTGAAAGTCCGAAGCGCAGAGTACGGGAAGACCTGCGAGAACCCAGTCCGGAACGCTTCCACTTGACGTTGCACGCCGCTACCCAGTGTCATGTCGACCACTCGGTCAACGTACTTATCGACATTTTCAATCGTCACAGGGACGTTGGAACCGTTATCCATTAGTTCAATTGAAGGGTAACCAGGCAGAGTGAAGTCAAGGCTTAAATCCTCTACTCTGACGCCGTCAATTTCGACATTCTGCAGAGCTTGCGACTTCGCTGCGGCCGAAAGAGTCCCGTCGCGGTCGATTGCCCTCTTCGCGTTCGCGAAGCGCTTCAGCAGCAGAAGAGAGTTTGCAAGGTCTTGGTCGACGACTTTAACTGTCCCCAGAGACGGAGCCACCGAGGAAGAGCTGTCGGCAATACGGAAGAAGGCCGGGTTGAAAGAGATATCGATGATCCTAGAGTCGAGCATCGAACGAGCAACGAACTTTCCAAGCGTTTTGAACAAGCTCAGTTGTTTTTTTCCGGACTCCGAGGCAGCCTGTTCCTCACTCATGGGGGCTGGGAACAAGCCACGCTTGCCAAAGGCAAATTCTTCGTCGTTGTGGCAGTCGTTTTCTCTCCAGATCTTGAGCTTCTTCTTGGAAAATTCCTTTGAGACTGTGGAGTAAAACTCAAGAGTCGGGCCCAATCCCGTTCCGACTTCCTCGAAGTATTCCACCTCGAGAACGCTGGGGGAAGAACCGTAGAGCTCCATGACCTTCATGGCCGACTCCAGGATGCGACTTCTGGAGATCCGTACCTTTTGTCGCTGGAGACGTCCTAGGAATGGTCGGTCATCACGTCGGTGGTCGCTCCGGCTATCATCCGCATTCTGGGAATTTTGCCATCTCATCATAGCTCGGGCGTAGCCAAAAGCAGTCGACTGAAGGAATAGATGCCGGGTTTCAAACGGGAATAGAAAGGGGAAAAGCCGTGCCAGATCTTCGCTCCAGCTCGGCAGGCAGCTGCTAGCCACGATGAGCGGTTCCTCCAGCTGACGGTTCAGTTTGGCAGTGAGCTTGGTGTTGATGAATTGCGCCAGCGGCTCCGGTTTTAGTGCTACAAGCTCCTTGGTATCAGCAAGTATGTCATCTAAAGTGACATTCATCTCGTGCAAAGACCGAAGGAGCCGTAGGATCGGCGCTGTGATAGAATCTTTGCTCAGAGAGGATGGCATCTCAGCGCCGTTGCCGGACAATTCTTCTTCGAGGCCGGGTGCAACGGTAGAAGGCTCCGGGGGCGGCGGTCCTGGAACCCGCCTGAATTTGACGGTGTGAATGGCAGACCACACATTCCTTGCCCCAGCATCCGCGTGTTCACGATTGTGGTGGACAGCACGGTAGATTGTGGTGTCACTCGAGACAGGTTTGTCGTCTACGCTAAACTCGATGTGCCAATCTTGGGGGATGGAGGTCATAGCGGCCGCGTAAGAAGCGAAGGGCCGACCAGCAGTGGCCAGCGAGCTGGTTCCTGTCGCATTCGCGCCTGTATTTGCGGCGGATGAAGATGACTTGGATGCGGGAGTCGACTGAGACG